GAATCGATATTAATTGACAATTTTATTGACGCGTAGCAATTATTGAAAATTAACGCGCATTCAGGGGAATTTAATTTATTTATTTAATTTATTTCATCTCTCATCACTCGAAATGATTTTTCCTTCGCAGATAATATGTTCGTCCCCACCGTAGGTAGACAGGACGAAATAAGTGGAGATTTTCTGGATTTTAAATTTATGACTGCAGTAATCGGATAATTGAGTAATTAATACAATTCAAAGTGAAAATGATTACTGGGAATTATTTCCGTTTGCTCCTGGGAGTGCTTGCTGCCCTATTCTTCATTCAGACTGTCTGTAAGTTCTCATAAATGATAACTAACATATTATTTATACCACCAATACCTAATTACCGATAAAATCCTCTGAATTGATATTTCCCAGGCAATTTTATTGAGTCAAAGTGAATCAATCAATTAACTCGTGATTTCTCAAGTGTTAAAATACTTTTCATTATAAAAATAGTACTTAAGCCCCAGGTGAAGACGGCGAATTGTTTGTTTTTCTCAGGGGCATTGGAGGAGAATTGCACAGATTTTCAAGGAGGAACTGTTACCCATGGACTTCTTTATGTTCCTGGGCCAGCGGTTTGCAGTCTCTGCGTTTGTTATCACTCAGAGCCGATGTGGTGCAAAGCTATTTACTGCTCGCCTCCATACGTGAGTCTATTATTTATTATCTCAATAAATAATAATTGAAATAATCTTCCTGGACAACTCGACTGACTTCTCCCAAAAAATTATCCCAATCTCTCCAGAAATGCAAACGATTCAGAGTGGGCGAGCGTTGCTGTGAGTTCCAATGCCTGAACAGTACAGCACCAGATCTGGGACTGCCTGAGTTCAGGATAAACAGCTCGTCGACTCATAATCACTCGAGAAATCCACTGGTGAATGTCCTGAGTGTTGTGACGAGTCTTCTCCTGGCTGATATGATAAGTGACTAGCATGATGGAGTGTCAGTGAATAATTTTATCGGTTGAGGCGATGCACAATGAATTTTATTAATAAAAAGTACCAGGGAGCGAGGAAATATTCAAGTGAACTGAGAACTCGATAATTGAGAGAATGCAGACGTCATCGATAAATCGAGGAGATACTCGATGGCTTCTTGCACTGTCTACCCTTTACCTGGGGCCTCTTGTCGTGCCCCAATTGTCAGATCGAGTGATACGCCATCACTTGCACCACCATTTATCGAGTATTTCCCATAATCGATCTCATGGATACGTATATTCCGATATTTTATTGCTTCATTCATTTTCTTATTGCAATAATGATCAATTGCTTTTTTATCACTCTTACATATCCAGAAAAATAAATTCGGTGGAATTTATTCATTCATTTTTTACTGGAACGCGATTCTTGATGATACGTAGACTCGATTTATTCCGATTTATAAATTTCCAAGTGAATATTAACGAAAATATCTGTAAGATTAGGATTTTGTTAGTGAAGATTTGCTGGAGAAAAAAAAATCATGTCGTATTTTCCTTGGAACTCATTTTCTCGGGAGATATTCGCTGATTAATTATTTTTCTGGATTCAAATTGAAAAATTGTAGTGCTGACACGTATTGATGCTTTGAATTTATTCTAAACTACTAGAGAGAAGCCTGAGGGCCACTGCAAGCCCAAAACGTAAAGATATAACGAATAATCAAATTTTATCTTTGATAATGTTTGATGAATTTTTCCTTCTTCGATTAATGCTTGAATTTTCATAATATTAATGTTTTATTTATCAAATTATCAACATTTTTACATGCGAACTCAAGTCTTTCACACCTAATGTTATAGTTCATCAGTGCCTATGCGAATATAAATAAATATATTAATTTTAAACTCATATCGTAGTTAGGGAGCTGGTACTCCTTGATTAAGGCAAATGAAATGATAAGTTTTATCAATGCGTGCGTTTCAATGTACGATAGAATTTAATATCATAGAGTATATCATAATTATATAAAAATGCTATTATGTATTCCAAAATAGATTTTTTATTACGTTATTCAATCGAGAATTAATAAAGATGTTTTAAATTTATTAAGAATATTTACCCGTTTACCACTATTCACTGGTTTCGTCGACTTTTTATCATTTTCAGGTAAAATTTCGCCGGTGAGATTTCACTTCTTGTAGATTGTGTCGTAAATATCTGTTCGTCTTTGATTGGAAATGGGAATTTGACTTCTCACTTCCTCAACTTCCTCTAGATCTGTAAAAAAAAGGGAAGAGAAGACTTTTTTAAATGGAATCGATGAATAAAACAATTGTCTAAAGTAAAATCGGCAAGCATCAATTAAAGTTGCGATCGGATCTAAATAAATACTATAATATTTTTTAATTTATTATTTGAAGAAATATTTTGTAGAAAATCGGGAATATTTACTGATTTCCGCGACTTCGAGGTTCTGCTCAGTCCCCAGATCACAGATAACCCTGGCCCAGGGGCTAGTCAATTGACTGTGACCCCAGGCGATGTATCCAGGTCCCTTTCCCCTGGCTGGAGACACACAGACCACAAAACACTGATTGTCATTAGCCCTTGACCTCTGGAGCAGCTCCCAATGGAGTGGTCCAGTGGTGAGATTGAAAGCAGCTGGATAAACCAGCATGTGACACCCTCTATTCCTGTACAACTTGGCCATCTCCTCGAATCTGATGTCATAGCAAATACCAATGCCTATTTTGCAGCCTCTGAACTCAAAAATCGTGATATCATCACCAGGTGACAGAGTCTCGCTCTCGAAGAAGGTCATCTTGTCCTTGATATCGATATCAAAGAGGTGCATCTTCCTGTGTTTAGCTATTAATTTACCCTCGCTGTCCCAGACAGTGCAGGTGTTGTACAATTTATCATCATCTCTCTCTGGAATTGTTCCCCCAATGACTAGAATTTTGTTGTCTCTGGCTGCTTTAGACAGTGCAGCACACGTTTCACCGCTGGGAATGGCTTCTGCGTATTTTTTAAAATGCTGGGTACCGTATGGTGAGTTGAAGCACTCGGGGAGGACAACTACGTCGGCTTCCTGTTTTTTTGCCTGATTTATGTGAGACACTGCATTATCAATGTTGGAGGATTTATCTGTGCCAACTGAGAGTTGGGCCAGGGCCAGTCGAAAGCCTGAGAAAGGAGTGATTGGGTTTTGATTATCTGCCAAGGGATTTTTTTTCTTGTAGAAACTTACTTGACATTGATCTGGTGTTGCTGGAGAACACTGGGAGAATTCTCTGCATTGCTCGGAGGTTAGGGTTCAATTATTATCATTGTTGTGATAACAGGGGGAAAAATTTATCACACATACGCATGCAATTATTTTTTAATACTTCAAGTTTTAAAATAGAAAATAATTCCAGAGAAATTTTACAGATATTTGTGCGGACTTGTATTTTTCAATTTTCAATTTTCAATTTCGTTCACGATTTTTTATTAATTCTAGAGAAAATAGGAAACGCTGGATGATTTTGGAATGAAGAGCAGAGAATTAATAAACGATTAAATAATTATGAGGTTTTATATTGAAAAATAAAAATCGAGGGGAGAATAATCTACAAATCTTGACGTAGTCCTCGATTAATTCAAATACAGTACACTCCCGTTATTGTCGCGTACCTGGGGCTGTAGGGGAAGTGTGAATTATTTATTGAATTAATTATTAAATAAATCGAATGGGAGAGAAATTGATCTTTCGCGAAATTCAATTTCTCACCGGACGATACAATGAATTGTTTACATCTTGTAGCTCGAGAATAGAGTGGAAATTCCGAGAGATATGCGAACACAGAAATTGAGGAGAGGTGCGACCAGGTATTCTTACTGTACCAGAAAAAATTTAAAAATCACTAGTCGATCAAGATCTTGATCTTCTGTGATGTTTTCGATTTTTCCTCCTGTCGAGAGACTCTGAGTATCGAGATTTACGTTCTCGGCTTCTGTCTCGAGTTTTCTCCTTTTTCTTGTTTTTCCTGCTGGAATGCTTTTTCGATTTTTTCCTGTGCTCATCAGAGCTCGAACTTCTGTTTCGATTCCTGTGTTTTTTCTTGGTTTTCTTCTCATAGCGATCGTCTGAGCTCGAGCTCGAGCATCTTCGGCGATGGCTGCGTCGATCGTCATCGCTGGAGTCATCGGATTTACGTTTTCTGTTGGAGTCTGAAGAGTTCGAGTTCGATGTTAATTTCTGCCTGTCTGCGTTCGCTTTGTCCTTATACTCAGCGAATTTTGAGGCGTCTGGAAAAAGAATCTACAATTAAATCGTCAGAGTTTGTGGTGAATTCAAAATGATTTTTCTGGTGAATAAAATTTCGAGACAAAAATAAAAACTCAATACTATATAAATGAATCGAATAATTAATATATAACAAATTTTTTTTTTATTCACCAGAAAATAATTCGTAGTCCATAAAAAGTATTTACTCAAAATTTTGGAATATTTCGTGTACTCGTCTTTCGTCACGGGTTCCACTAAACATTCATTAAGTGAAACAGACTCTCCACCGATTGTTAATTTAACAATTAGCCTGCCGGAGTCCTCATCCAGACCCTCCAGGACTCCGTAATTATGATGATGCTTTCCTCCCAGTATTTTAACGAATGCTCCAACAATTAATTGCAATTGTTCCTGCTCCTTCGTCTTTTTCTCCACATTTTTGGCCTTGAGGACTGCCTTGTCAGCACCCAGACCCATTCCTCGTGGCCTCAATTCAGGTATTTTAGGCTCTACGTGCCTGAAAAACAATAACAATCATTTTAATTTGAAACGATAAATGCAGACGTACATTAAATTATGGATTATCCCTTACTGTTCATTTTTACCGAGACCTTTTCCCGGTTGCCATCCCATCCCACGCAGCATTGCCAATCCGTAAGACTCGATTGGAATTTGTTCATAATCTTCTAGTGTTGACTAAAAGAGAGATTAATAATTAATTCAAAGTATTTGAGGTAATTCCTGTGGATTTATCATTTATACCTCACGTTGGCCCTCTAAATTGTCAGTATTGTGAAGAGGCAGTGTTAGATCTTTCGGCTCGACTTTAACATCTTTCCCCAAATCATTGAGAATCTCCTGGGCTGCCTGTTCCTCTAATGAGACAGTTATCTCATCGTCAGGCTCTTTTTTTATCCCTGAAATGTCCATGGGGACTCCATCACTCGAGACATTCCCATTGGGAACTCGTAATTTCGAATTCTTCTCGTCAGCTTTTTCATCACTCTCTTCGTTCTTCAATTTCGTCTCGAAAATATCTGCATCGACTTTGTTAATAATTCTGTCGTGCCACGTTCTTGATCCCAGCATGGGAATCACCAGGGGTTCATCATTTTTCTCCTCTTCTCTGTTATCAAGAAAATGTTTATTTTATTTTTATGGTGGGGAAAGCCTTTTGAGGTTAACCCTTTAATTCTCAGACAAAAAATACTCACCCAATAATTTTAATCGTTTTTTCATCAAGATAATCGATGAAATCGATTTTTTTAGCTTCCGGTTCGGCGACATTTTTCAAAACTGGTTTTTTTATAGACTTGGAAAATCCGAATGAAATTTTTTTCCCCCCCTCACCAATCATAACAGCAAAAAAACAAAAAAAAACCGGGAAAAAAAATATCAAAACGAGAAAAAACACGCCACACTCACAACAGAAAAATAAAAAAAAAAAAAATTCTCAAAAACCTTAAATATTGTAAATAAAAACACACATTTGTGTGATTACACCGATCGCGGTGCTCACGTAAACACAACGACGGAGTGAATGATAAAAAATTTCAAAAACCGACAGTGACAGCAGCGCCCACACAAAATCCCAGTTTCATAAAAAAAAATTAGCGTTGTCCCAGCCGCTAAGGTGACCAGAGCATTTTCAATTTCAAGTGATATTCATTTTGAATTTTTCCACCAAATCATTATGACCATTTTTTATTTTATTTAAAAATCATTACCATCTGCTGGCGTCATTCCCATCAGTCGAAAAATAATCAAATCCTTGAACCAATGCGCATGCGTGACCTTGAGTCAAGGTGACCGGTTGGCAGTTCCACGAAGAAGGGGGAAAAACGATCACTTGGGGTCCATCACTCCACCAGTCGACGCGTCTCTGTCTCAAATAAATAAATCCCCAACATCCGAGAGTTGTCACCCAAAATCAATTGACTAAATCCAGTGAAAATGTCAATGAGCGACATAGATCATGAGAAGAAGAAACAAATATCTGTCAGAGGTATTGTTGATGTTGTGAATGTTGGAAATATCAAGAAGGCTTTCAACCGGCATGTACATTACACCCTGGTGAAGGACAGGAATGTCGCCACCAGCAGAGATTACTACTTTGCATTGGCACACACTGTCAAGGACAATCTTGTATCGAGGTGGATCCGAACACAGCAGCATTATTACGAGAATGATCCTAAGGTAATTGCTCACATTATTATTTTGAGGTATATGAAGGCCTCGAGACCTTGAGCTGATTGACACTGATAGATAGATCTGATCGTCTAACACTTCAGCTGCTTGAACCAATTACGGGACTATAATAGATGTTTTAGATCGTCTAAACAATAAATATGCCCGGAGTTTTATTGATTTATCAGAGGACTTTCGAGAAGTATTTTCAATTAAATAATGTCTGATGAATTTTTTTTTCAATCGAGGAATTGCATGTTTGCATTTTTTATGGTTTTTATTTCGGTAGTTTTTGTTGGGCAATTGGAGAATTTATTTTAAACTCAACTTGCGATGTCGTTTCATCTCGAAACGCTGTTGTGACGTCATTTTATTTGAGAGATCAATGAGAGCAATTTTAGGATCACGTACGAGAATATCTGGAGATGGGTGAAATTTTCAGGGTTTTAATTCGGGGGGTGTTAATTGAAATTTTTATTACTGAGAGAATGGGAAATTTTCATTGTGTAGAATTGGCACTTTGACGTGTTTCAAAGCCAAGATTCAGCTCGTTGGAACATTTCCAAATTCATTTCCCACATTTTGACGGTCATGTTGATGTTTTTGGGGATATCTATTGTTTATTTTTATTTCAAGTTCACAGCATTTTTAACGGTCCACTATTTTTTTTAATTATGAGAGAATTAATAGGAGACTTTCATGATTTTTTTTTCAGAGAGTCTATTATCTCTCCTTGGAATACTACATGGGGAGAACTTTACAGAATACGATGATAAATCTGGGAATTCAGGGAGCATGTGATGAAGCAATGTACCAGGTAACAGATCCTAAAATAATGATTATCAGTATAACCGAGGGAGATATCGAAATTTTTGTTAGAATCTTTTTTCCGCGGGGAATTGAGATCTCGAAAAAATATATCTACAAAAATTTTGCTATTTCTCTTATTTTCCGTGATATTTGTGAAAAATAAACAGAGGATAAATCCATTCTCTGTAGATGGGTCTGGACATTGAGGAGTTGGAGGACCTCGAGGAGGACGCAGGCCTGGGAAATGGTGGGTTGGGTCGACTGGCTGCCTGTTTCCTCGACAGCATGGCAACCCTGGGTCTAGCAGCCTACGGTTACGGTATTCGTTACGAATACGGAATATTCGCCCAGAAGATTAAGAATGGTGAGCAGCTGGAGGAACCAGATGACTGGTTGCGCTATGGAAATCCTTGGGAGAAAGCTCGCCCCGAGTTCATGCTGCCAGTGAATTTCTACGGGCATGTGATCGACACCCCAGAGGGTAGAAAATGGGTGAACACTCAGGTGATATTTGCGATGCCGTACGACTCGCCAATTCCAGGGTACAAGAACAATCACGTCAATACCCTGCGTCTGTGGTCTGCCAAGTCCCCGATAGAATTCAATCTCAAGTTTTTCAACGACGGTGATTACATCCAGGCTGTTTTCGACAGAAATCTAGCTGAGAATATCAGTAAAGTCCTGTATCCCAACGACAACTTCTTCGAGGGAAAGGAACTCCGGCTTAAGCAGGAGTACTTCATGGTGGCTGCCACTCTCCAGGACATCATCAGGCGTTACAAATCCAGTAAATTTGGGTCACGTGATCACCATAGAACCGGTTTCGAGCAGTTCCCCGACAAAGTGGCGATTCAATTGAACGACACTCATCCGTCCCTGGCAATTCCTGAGCTGATGCGAGTGCTTGTGGACGTGGAGGGCCTCCCCTGGGAGAAAGCCTGGGACATCACCACGAGAACCTGCGCCTACACCAACCACACGGTTCTTCCAGAAGCCTTGGAGCGCTGGCCAGTCTCAATGCTCCAGAGTATTCTACCTCGTCATCTGGAGATCATCTATCACATTAATTTCCTTCACCTCAAAGAGGTGGGAGCCAGGTATCCTGGGGACTTTGATCGACTTCGAAGAATGTCGCTGATTGAAGAGGATGGAGAGAAACGAGTCAACATGGCTCACCTCTCAATCGTTGGATCACACGCGATCAATGGAGTCGCCAGGATTCACTCTGAGATCTTGAAGGACTCGGTCTTCAGAGAATTTTATGAAATGCACCCCGATAAATTCCAGAACAAGACCAATGGCATTACACCGAGACGATGGCTGTTGCTCTGCAATCCCAATTTGTCTGATGTAATCGAGTCGAAGATTGGTTCTGACTGGGCAGTACATCTTGAACAGCTGCAGCAACTGAAAAAGTTGGCGAGGGATCAAAATTTCCAGAGGTCTGTGGCCAAAGTCAAACAGGAGAACAAGCTAAGACTGGCTGAACTACTCGAGAAGGAGTACGGGGTCAAGGTGAATCCTGCCTCTCTCTTCGATATACAGGTGAAGAGAATTCACGAGTACAAGCGACAATTGTTGAACTGCCTTCACATTATCACGTTGTATAACCGAATCAAGAAGAATCCTTCAGCTCCGTTTGTCCCAAGGACAATTATGATCGGTGGTAAAGCAGCCCCTGGATATCTTCTCGCTAAAAAAATTATCAAGCTCATCTGCAGTGTTGGTCAGGTCGTTAACAATGATCCTATTGTTGGTGATAAACTCAAGGTAATCTTCTTGGAGAATTACCGAGTTACTCTTGCTGAGAAGATAATTCCAGCCGCTGATCTCAGCGAGCAGATATCCACTGCTGGCACTGAGGCCTCAGGCACTGGTAATATGAAGTTTATGCTGAATGGTGCATTGACTATTGGAACTCTGGATGGAGCCAATGTGGAGATGGCTGAGGAAATGGGCAATGAGAATATCTTCATTTTTGGAATGACCGTTGATGAGGTGGAGGACCTGAAGAGACGCGGGTACAACGCCTGGGATTATTATAATAAATTGCCAGAGGCCAAACAGTGCATTGATCAAATCACTGGTGGATTCTTCAGTCCTAATAATCCTGATGAGTTCAAGGACATTGGGGATGTCCTCATGAAGTGGGACAGATTCTATCTTCTCGCGGATTATGAGGATTACATCAAAACCCAGGATAAGGTCTCCAAGGTTTATCAGGACAGCACCAAGTGGATGGAGATGGCCATTCACAATATCGCAAGTTCTGGTAAATTCTCATCGGACAGAACCATTGGTGACTACGCCAGGGAGATCTGGGGAGTTGAGCCATCCTGGAAGGCACTTCCTGATCCTCATGAGCCCAGGGATGTTCAATAAGTCTGCATCTCGTTTTTTGAGGGCTGATGCTAGGGAGATTGTTGTTGATTGTTTTGGAGTTTAAGTAATTTCAATTCGTTTTCTTGAGTGAAAATGAATTGTAAATTATTTCGATACTTTTTTGGATTCAATGATGACTCTCTCGTAATCTTACTGATATACATCGAATTATAATCTCGAGAATAATAGTTCTCTTTGAATTCATTTACATATTGTTTATATAGCAGTCGGTGATAATGTTATCAGCTCACATTTTTCTTCGCACAATTGACATTTTCATGCCAAAGTTCAGAGCTCGTGGCAGCTACTAATGTGTTCCGAGAGTTTTACAAAAATAAAAGAAGGGATTGAGTCTGAATCAAAGTTAGAGAAAAGTATTCGTCACATACAATATTTTTTTAAAATACTCAAATCAATAATGGATAAAGGTACAAAGAGATACTGAATTGTTAAATGAGAGATCTATGACAGATGGTAAACTAATTTATATAGGATAATGCCTAAATATACAGTCGTGAATGGCTTTTAATTCAGAATTGATGATGGATTATATTTCTGGATGTTGTTAACTTCTTTGTGCCATCTGTGAGGAATTTTTGCACGTGTGGCTCGTTGCAACAAATAAATGCATTGCTGAGACTTTATTTTGTGTTTATTATTAAAAATTCATGAAAAATATCTATTTATTTATTCTCCACAATTATTTCTCCGTGATATAACCAAAAAATTATTTTTTAAATCGTTCCCTTTTCAAATCATTTGATGATAAAAAAAAAATCGTCAGGGTGTGAATTAGTCATCGGTTCTACTGGAATTATAACGAGATCATAATACGATACATAATGATGTATATACTGTGATATATAATGTACTATGCGGTGTCCATTGCGTGGAAATTCCAACAATGTCGCAGGTCAGACCGTCTGTGGAAAATTTTGAAAATAATGATATTCAAACGAAACCTGTGGTGAGTAGCACTTGACAATTGTCCTCTCTTGAACCTCCAGATAAATTAGAATAAATCAATAAATCAATAAATAATGGTTTTGAATTAAAAAAATGACAGCCGATCAAAGGATTTTTTTATTGTAATTCACATTCGGCGTTCGGTTCCCCTTCGGCAATCATCGGAGGCTGACGTCGACGCCGCGAAATTCGAATCGCTGCAAAAATCTGACGCTTCGATTTGTTTATTTATTCAATTCCGTAAAAAAAATGGTGGGAAATTATTTATGTTGCAGAATGAATCGAATCCAGTGGAGCCGATCAGACTCGAGATTAAATCGGCAATAATTGTCATTGGATTTATACCGAATAATTCCAAAAGGTAATTATCCGTTTTTTAATTTCAATTCGTCGTATGTTTCTCTGGATTATAAAATTGCGTTAAAATTATCTGTCGTTTTTTTTTTATTCAATGCGCAATGTGAAGTTGTTAGAGAGAAAATGAATGTGACAAACAAAAAATAATCTAGAGGCAAAAGAGAAACGACAGGGAAAATTGGGGATTGAGGGAGCGGTTGCTCGGGAGAGTTTGGGGTGTATCAAAAATCTTAAATCATGTGAATTAATCTTGAGACAGTTTTTCGTTCAATTTAACATGTCGATCGACTGGAAATATTGCTCTGCACTTTAATCCACGATTGGACCGGGGATATTGTGTGAGGAATACAAAAATCAAGGGATCCTGGGACTCCGAGGAGACGTGCTCCAGAGTCGGAGGAATAAATCCACTTTTTCCAAGAAATTCCTACTTTCATCTCCTGATTTTCTGCGGCTCGAGAGAATTTCAGGTGTGAAATTAATTTCGAGATATCCTTTGAGAAAATGAATTCAATTCATCTTTAGATTTTAATAATTCAACTCTTTCATATATTTTTTGTTGCAGATTGCTGTCAATGGAGAACACTTCTGCGAATTTCCATATCGATTGTCCCTCGAATCGATCACGAATTTCGAGTACGTGGGAGACGTCGAGGACGTGAGAATTCGATTAACAAAATTGAATATTTATCCAGATCCGAAGATTATTAAGCCCCGCCGATACCTTGAACTCTCCCCAGAGAAGCCTCTCGCTTTTAATCTCGTGCGTATGATTGTGATATTTTTTATTCCATCGAATTCATTAGATTTATGTAATTTGTTTACGAGAATTGGAGACATACTTTGTTTAACAACTTATCTACCTCTTTTTCAATCGGTTATCGCAGATTATTTCGACTCAAAATGATGAAATCATTAATTTCCCAATAAATTTACAATATCACTTAATTATATAATCGGCGATGGTTTATCGAGTTATTGGAAAGAATAACGTCAGACGAATATTTTTACTCTCAAATCTTCTGAGCAATTGGTTTTCTTCCTTTGAATAATTATCATAATTTATATTTTATATTAACAATTATTCCTTTCAATTCCAGGAAGTTCCCTGTACGATTTCCCTATCCCAACCCCTCGCATTCGGCACTAAAATATTCATAAAAGGACGTCTGAAACTCTTACCCCATTCGTAAGTTTGATTTTAAGATATTCCTGAATGCCACTGGACTCCAGTAATTTATTCCTCGAATAAATTTATTTATTCAGCTTCTACGTGAATCTCCAGAGAAGTCAATTATACTACCCCCATCCGGATATCGCACTGCATTTAAATCCTAGATTTTTATTCGGAAATCATCCGTCCTGTGTCGTGATGAATTGCTGGACCAACGGTGCCTGGAGTGCTGAGGAAAGACACGAGGGACAATTGTCCTGGGGTCCAGGACGTGATTTCCTCTTGACGTAAGATAGTATTAAAATTATCCAAACTAGCGGAAACATCATATTTGATAATTTTTTAATTTAGAATTCGATGTGAGTATGAAGGGTACAATATCTGGCTGGACAACAAGATAATCGGAATCTTCCAGCATCG